GGCTAGTTCGAGTCCTGACTCACCGTGATGGAGGTTACGAAAACCAGGATTCCCGTAAAAAGAAAGTGCAATGTCTAAGGAAATTTCAGCTGTGAGAAATATGACCTATTTACAACATGCATGAATTTTCTTGTTTTAAAATTTATTCCTGGAATTGTAATAGCCACTCAGACGCTGCTGTGTGAAAGGGCCCTGATTGTTGCCTGCTGCTTGAACATCTTTTGTTTCCTCTTCCAGTCCTCTCCAGCTCTGGAGGAAGGACACTGCAGTGATACTAGTGGTTAAGGAATATGGGGGATAAAGTGAGTATTTTTTACTAGAAATATGTTATTTAAGGCAGCGGAATTTGACCCTGGATACATGTCGAAGACGTGTTCAGAAATATCCAGCTGATTCTAGATATTAGCGTTTTAAAGTGAGGATTACATTGAAATTTCAAAATCCTTACTCTGTAGATAGATGCATTTTATTTTTTTCCCTCCTGTATACTTTATTTACCTGGGGAAGGAGCTTTTCGGGAGGGAGAGGGTGGTTGGCTATCTCTAGCTAGCGGAACAGCGTGCCTTTGATCCTCACGCATCCCGTTTTTGTGGGTGCCTCAGCCGTGCTTCCTGGGGAGGGCAGAGCTGGCTCCAAGCAGCCTGGCTCTTGGCTGAGCTTAGTGATATCCTTGGAGTCTGTCTGTGCTACTTTGAGGGAACCAGAGAAAGAGAAAGAGCCCTTTGCAGCATGAGAGAGCCCCCAAAGCTCTGGAATTTACCTCCACTTTAATAATACTGAATATTTTTTAGCATTAGAATGTGTTAATGTTATTTGAATTAATTTTGACTACACTTTGGCTTGGGATAGTAATCATTTCAAATAAACACTGGTACTTTTTGAACTTGATAGCTTAAAGATTCTAAACTGCATGTTTTATACTGTTCAATTTTCACCAGTTATGAAACCAGTGACAGTTACTTTATTTTTATATGGATTTTGTTTAGGCTGCAATGTTTAGCTTTTGTAACTCCTTACTCCTGCTATCTGAAAGTTTATTTCTGTGTTTAATGGCATATTTGCTGAGAAATTAAGCATGTAAAAACCAGGTTTTGATTTTTTTTTCCTGTTGTATTTTTTTAACAGCTTCATATTGAAGCTGAGATTTTTACCATATCCAAGTTGAGTGCAAGCCTGGTGTGCTGGATCTTGTTACATAAAGCTATTGCCAGAATCTTAGTAAATATGATGTTTTAAAAGTTTGTTGTCTTTGTATATTAATAACATGATGACAGGTTAAACAACTACATTACTGCTCCTCTTGTGTCATATTTTACTAAAGGTTTGTGCCTCATATCTTTTGCTGAATTGTTTACTAGTAATGTTAAAAGGAATTGATAAGTCATTTTCACTTTACATTTTTATATAATCAGGTAACATGATATATAATTTGTACATTTATGCCTGTTATAGAGGTTGTGGTAACTATAATGGTATATGCACAAGACGTTTTGGCATGCATGACAAGAGGCTGAATAAATAGCTATTTTACCTAAAATAGCTTTGTTCTTACATCAATTCCCTTTGGGGTCACGATTAAAATTATAAAGGTAGTAAACACTACTGCGAAGTGTTAAGTGTTACAAAAGTCATGGCACACGTTTTAGCAGTAAAATAGCATAGTTCTTTAACATATTTCTTAGTGGGGTTCTTAGTTTTATGCAGAGCTTCATATAGCTTCTATTTCCTAATAAAAGATCATCTCTTATCTTTTCGAGTAACTAATTTGGAAAACATTTGTATCCAAAAGAAAGTTTCTCAAAATTGTTTTCATGAGAAAGCTCAAAGTGACATTCATCCAGTTATTTGTGGGATAGTTTCCTGTGTACATGAAAGCAAAGGCTTGCCAAGTGACCCTGTATGTGCTGGTCATTGCATCTTAGTTGAAGCTACCCAGGGACCCCTGATGACAGTTGCCAATTGCAAGGTCAGCACTTCCAATCTACCTGTCACCCTCTGGACAAAGATGAGGCGCTCTGCTCCCATGAAGCCGTACAGTCTCGGAAACCCACACGGGCCAGTTGTGCGTTGTCCTTTGGGTTGCTCCGAGACAGAATCAGCTCGGCAGTGAGAAGCAACCAGGTTTAGACTGGCAGAGAATGTGATTCAGTGAGACGCTCTGTGGAAAACACCTTGTTCCTCAGATTGCATGTGTCACAATCTCCCAGTAGAGTGTGGAAAGAAAATTTAACAGGGCCGTACTGTTTGCACTACGGGCTATTCCAAAGTTATCACAAGCAAGTTAATAACATGCTCTGCTTCCAGCCCACCAGTACACATGTTTTCTTGCATAATTTTGCCAATCATTTTAGAAACACAAAACCCATTGCTGTTGAGTTCATTCTAGCTCTTGGCAGCCTTGAAAGACAGTGGAGTTGTCCCATGGAATTCCCATGTCTGTAATCTATACAGAAACAGACCGCAAACCTTTCCGTTAAGAGTCACTGCCGAACTATTGTGCCATCAAAGTTCCTTTTTTTTCAAAGTTCTTTAAAAATTGGTCAACCCCAAGAAGAAATTAAGTGTCGGAGTTGCTATATGTTACAGATTTTAATGACTTGAATGAAATTATTCCATTTGTTCTAGGTGGTAGCAACGATTGTGTATTTTTTCAGTGGTTGAGAACCTTCTCTTGTTGCTGGGAGGCTGCATGGGAACATTCTGTTCCGGGTAGGGACCCAGGAGCTCTAGAACCAGTGGCAACCCACGATGCTAAGCCTCAGAGCTGGGCTGCCTGGGAAGTCTGTCCTGTGTTGGAGTCATACTTGACATGGACCAGAAGGCTTTGAAGAAGCTGGTGGAATCCATAAGTAAAACTGTCAAGAGTTGTAAGTACTAAGCAGACCAACAGCACTTCCTGAGTATTGATTCAATCGAATGTAAATATTGGTAGATATATACTTAATTAGACATCGGTAAGTGTGTTGCAATCCTAAAATAGTCTCTGCTTCCTATCTAACATTTTGATCACTTTATTTTATTTACATTTTGACCATTTTTAAAGTGAACAGTTAGGCCTACACTTGCACGGAAAACTTGTAATCATCAACCTGCCCGAAGTTTTTGAAGCCCCACTCCTACTTGGGTATATGGGAAGACAAGTTGAGTATTATCAGGACATCTTAAATGCTAAAAGATTATTAGTCAAACAATAATTGATTTATGTAGTATGAAATTAAAGTTTAATAAAACAGTCTCTGAATTATAAAGGCTTGCTTTGACCCTGAGTTTTCTGGCCTCCCAGAACGTTTCCACACACAACCCATACTGGCAAATGATTTATACCTAACATACCTAGGGTGTTGAAGACAGCATGGTACTTCGCACATGTTTGAGTGTTTAAAGTTTATTCTTAAAGCTAATCACATTTCACAAGTCTTTCAAAGTTAACACGAGAATTTTGTTTCTCAGACATAACCATATACAATTTGACAGTTGTCAGGGAGGATTTCATGAAAGAGGGAGCCTTTGAGAGCACGGCAGTTTTTCCATGTGTGACCTTGGGGAGCAGGAGAACAGGGCTCGTTCCAATTAGATTTTAAACTGTGTATCAACCCTTCAGGAGTCTGTTTTCCAATGTATATCTTATTGTGTCATTCAGAATGGTCTTACAGGTTTAGTCAGTCCTAAATAAATTTGCTGCTTTCTTTTTTTTTTTTTTTTCTTCAGTGATAAATCGCAGGGTTTATTTTATTAGCTCTCTTGAATTTTTGGTTTCAGTGTGTGTGGATACCCATGGCGCCCCGGTCTCTCCGATGTGCTGGGCCAACTCACCACCATCCACTTGATGCTGACTCACAGCAACCCTATAAGACAGGGCAGAACTGCCCCTGCGAGTAGCTTTTTTTTTTTTAAATACTTTTATTGGGGGCTCTTAGATCTATTATCACAATCCATAAATTCCTCCAGTGTGTCAAGCTCATTTGCACATATACCGCCATCATATCATTTTCAAAGCATTCTCTTCCCACTTGAGCCCCTGATAATCAGCTACCCTTTCTTCCCCCTCCCTCACGAACCCTTGATAAGTTATAGATTATTTTTTCCATATTTTACATTGTCCTCTGTCGCCCCAGTTCTTGTTGATCCTTGTGGTAGATTTCCTCTCTCCCCCCCCTAATTCTGGTATCTGCTCTCCTGTTGGCTCTGAGGGATTTATCAATCCTGGTTCCCTGTGTTGCAGGCTCCCATCTGTAGCAGTGTGCATGTTCTGGACTAATCCGATTTGTAAGGTAGAACTGAGGTCATGATAGTGGGGTGAAGGAAGCACCAAAGAGCCAGAGTAAAGTTGTTTGTTTCATCAGTGCTATACTGCATCCTGACTGACTCATCTCTTCCCGTGACCCCTTTTGTTAGGGGATGTCCAGTTGTCTACAGATGGGCATTGGGTCTCCACTCCATGTCCCCTCCACCCCCCTTCACCTTGAGTATGGTTTTACTCTGGGCCTTAGATGCTTGATACATGATCCCATCGACACCCCATGATCACACAGGCTGGTGTGCTTCTTCCAGTGGGCTTTATTGCTTCTTTAAGACCCTAGACACCTCTTCTGGTAGCTTGGCACCATAAGCTTTCTTTACATTTGCTTATGCACCCATCCTGCCTTCAATTTTCTGCTGTCTTAACGGCTTGGCTTTTATAACATTCAAATGAACTTTTGCATTTGGCACTTGTTATTCAGGAGTTCAATTCTAAACCAGTTTATTGTACACTTACCTGTTTTAGAGTTTATTCTAGAGCTAGTATACCCACTGATTCCATGTGCTTTCTAAAACTGCATCGTCCTGTATAGTAACCACTAGCCAGATAGGGCTATTTAAGATTAAATAGAACGTAAAATTCTATTTCTTGTCTTTCTTGTCACTCTAGCCACATTTTAGGTGCTACTAAATGGGACAGCTGAAATAGGGCAGTTCTAGTGGACAATGCTGTTGTAGTTAGCGTAATGCATCTAGCCCCGTTCTTTTGAGTGTTGCTGCCTCCTGTGGAGATGGACCCATGCTCAGCAAGCCGAAATGCTGCCTGTCCTTCAGTGTCCCTGTGACCAACTGTGGACCTGACTTGTGGTCCATAAGGTGTTTTATGTTTGAATTTTGGAAGCAAATTACCAGACCTTTAGTTCTAGTGTGTCTTAGGTTGGAATCTACTGAAACCTGGTTCACAAGAGCATCACACAAGCCTCCACTGACTGGTAGTGGCTGCTAGGGGTGCGGTAATCTAGTAAAGAAAGCAGGTAAGTACTCCAGGGGGGTGAAACCAATTGGGAAAGGAGCACATGCCTCAGGAGGGGGAGGATGCCCAGGGTGGGGGTTGGTGGTGCAGTGTCTTAGATGGTTTGGGCACAGGCACTGGAAACTAACGGTAACTAGGAAACTAACGGTAACAAGGTAGGTTTTAGGAGCTTGCTACTTGGTTTTCCTGGAATATAAGGGATGGGCAGAGATTGGAGAGCTTGGGCTGGTCTGTGTCCCATGAGAAGGAGCTTGCACTATGTGTCTCCAACCCCATCCTACACACACACTCAAACACAGACATGGGGCTTAGGATCAAATGAGTTGTTTTAAGCAAGCTTTCCTGAGAATCTGGACAGAGTTGAAGATTGCTGACTTCGGGGGCGGTGAGTGCAGCCTCTGCAGTCTGGGTTGCATGTTCGGGGTCACTGACCTTCATACTCGTAGGACCTCTGCTTGTGTGTAGTGTGTGAGGTACAAGGTCAGCTGTGGGGAGCACCAGCTGCTCCAAGGGAGTAAGATTAGGCTTTCTGCTCCCCTGAAGAATTGCACCCTTAGAAGCCTACCCAGAACAGACGGTGGCAGGGAGTTTGGCACTTTGCTTTTGCTTCGGGCACGTGTCTCATGCAGAGAATGATAAGAGCAGCCCCACCTTCAGAATCATCTACGCCAGTGGTTCTCAACCTTCCTCAGGCCGTGACCCTTTCATACAGTCCATGTTTGGTGACACCCCCCCACCATAAAATTAGTTTCTTTGCTACTTCAGTGTAATTTTGCTACTGTTATGAATCAGGCAACCCCTGTGAAAGGGTCATTCAACAACCCCCCTCCCCCCATGGGTCACGACTCGCAGGTTGAGAACTGCTGATCTACGTGTTTATGTTGAAAATGAAGATTCCTGGGTACCAGCTTGGATTTAATTAAAAATTCCCCATAAATGAGGTCACAGATGAAAGTTTTTGACTACAGGTATTTTTAGACTTGCTGAAGTTTGAAGTTTTTTCCAAGGGAAACAAGATCTGTCAGCCTCAGATCCGTCCCAGCTTGATGGGTACTGAGCCAGGATCAACCAGTCTCTCATTGTATCATTTAAAAAGCTGTTTTCACATTTACATAGATTGACCTTTATTTTTTTAACTAAGTTCAAAATTTCAAAACTTTTGTAATTTCATATTCTTTGATTCAACTGATCATTTTGATGTCTAGAAGTAATTTTGGATCCTGCCTCATCCAGGATATTCCATAACCTCTCCAACATTATGTATTCTAAATTTGACAAACACTCCAATTTGCAGGCAAATGCTAAATATGTTAATCATTTTATTCAACAGACTTATTGAGAGCCTGTCATTGTGCTAAACACTTCTAGCTATTAAGTAGATATTAATATGTTAAGAAGTGCCTCTTGAATAAAAGTGTTGAACCAGCTATCTTAATTTTCCGATCTACATTTTTCTCTTGTCTATAAGAATGTCAGATAACTTGCTGAAGCCTCCTATACATTGTGAACATCCTTTCTGTGATCTACTCGATAGAGGAAATAAAGAATAAATACATTAAATCTAGTATGATTTACCTTTGTAAATCCACAAGCTCCTCTTCCTGAGTGTTTTTGAGTATTTAATATAATTGACCATCTCTCCTGACACCCCACTACCACCTCTGAGGCCACTCACTAGAATAATGTTTGTCGTTCACTTTTTCTGAGACAAGGATGTGGGTTAATGTGTGTAAAAATGGGTTGGGAGGCATGCATATTTCCTGTTCTCGAGAGAGCCTACAAGTAGTAAGTAGCACCAAACACCAGGTCCCAGATGTTGATTTACCTACACACCATTCTGTGGTAGAATCTGGTCTCCTTGCAGACACAGCTGAATAGGAACAAAACAGAAGAGCTGGGAACACTTTGTAATGCCAGAAAGCAAGGACGTGTGCAAGAAACTTCGTGTATGTCAAAGCCACAAATCATCCTGACGGTTTCCAAGGGCCAAATGCGGGACAATTTAAATAACATATACTATAGGTGGCCTGTGGGGGAGGGAGGGAAAAAGAAGGAGCTGATTAGAAAATAATGGCAACATGTACAAATATGCTTGATACAACTGATGTATGGCTTGTTTTAAGAGCTGTGGTAACCCCCAATAAAATGATCTTTTAATTAAGGATAGAAGAATTCACACTGACAGAAGTAGCCATCCAAGGAAGTAGTCTGTGGGCTGGACTGATGCCTCACTTCACAGAATAAACTGGGAAAGGGGAAACAATTAGTGGAAAAATCTCAGACTACCCAGCTAAATGATCAGGCATGTTGAGATGTCACCCATGATGTTAGGTGCCATGCAGTTGGTTCTGACCAATCACAGCTTTATAAACAGAATGAGATGCTGTGTCATCCTCACAGTTGTTCCTGTGCCTGAGCCCACAGTGTCCGCCCACCTTGTCCAGGACCTTCCTCTTTTTCACTGCCCCTCCTCGTTACCACGCATGGTGCCCTTCGCCAGGGACTGGTTTCTCCTGACATGCCCAGAGTATATTAGATGAAGTCTTGCCATCCTTGCCTCTTAAGGAGTACTCTGGGAGTACTTCTTCCAAGATAGACTCGTTTGTCCTTACTTTGCAAGACTTTTTTTAAAGATTATTTTATTGGGGGCTCATGCAACATCACAATACATGCGTAAATACATTGTGTCAAGCACATTTGTACATTTATTGCCATCCTCAAAACATTTTCTTTCTGCTTGAGCCCTTGGTAAGAGTTCCTCATTTCTCCCCTCCTTCCCTCCCTCATGAACCCTTAATAATTTTTTAAAAATCATTTTATTAGGGGCCCATACAACATCACAATCCATACATGCATCAATTGTGTAAAGCACATTTGTACATTCATTGCCCTCATCATTCTCAAAATATTTGCTCTCCACTTAAGCCCCTGGCATCAGCTCATTTTCCCTCCCCCCTCCCTCGTGAACCCTTGATAATATATAAATTATTTTGTCATATCTTGCCCTGTCAGACGTCTCCCTTCACCTACTTTTCTGTTGTCCGTCCCCCAGGGAGGCGGTTATATGTAGATCATTGTGATCTGTTCCTCGTTTTGTCTCCCATCTTTTTACCCTCCTGCTATCGCTGCTGCTTATTGGTTCTGAGGGTTTTTTCTGTCCTGGGTCCCCTGTGTTTCCAGCTCTTATCTGTACCAGTGTACATTCTCAGGTCTAGCCAGATTTGTAAGGTAGAATTGGGATCATGATAGTGGGGGGGGCGGGGGGGAGCATTTAGGAACTAGAGGAAAGTTTATTTTTTATTGTTGCTACATCACACCCTGTCTCGTCTCCTCTCCTCTCCGATACCCTTCTGTAAGGGGATGTCCAGTTGCCTACAGATGGGCCTTGGGTCCCCACTCTGCACCCTCCCCCCTCACTCACAATAAGAGTTTTGGTTCTTTGATACCTGATCCCTTCGACACCTAGTGATCGCACAGGCTGGTGTGCTTCTTCCATGTGGGTTTTATTGCTTTTCAGCTAGATGGCCACTTGTTTATCTTCCAGCCTTTAAGACCCCAGACTATATCTTTTGATAGCTGGGCACCATCAGCTTTCGTCACCCCATTTGCTTATGTACCCACTTTGTCTTCAGCAATCCTGTCGGGAAGGTGAGCGTCATGAAATAGCAAGAATATTTTCAGTAGTCTTCTCCAACACAATTCAAATGAATCAATTCTTCAGTCTTCCTTTGTCAAGGTCCAACCTTCACATGTATGTGGCAATTGAAAATATAACTTGTGTCAGGCACACCTTAGTTCTCAAAATAACACCCTTTTCAATACTCTGAAGTCTTGTGCAGCAGATTTAATGCAACTGGCCTTTTGATCTCTTGGCTGCTGCTTCATGAGCATTGGATCATGCATGGATCAAGACAGATTTTTTGACAACTTCAATCTTTTCTCCATTTATCACGATGTTACCTATTGGTCTAGTTGTAAGGACACTTGATAGGATGTGTTAAAAAGTACATCTATGGTATTCTTCACAGTACAACAGTAATCCAGAGAAAAAAAATTAGACAAATATAAATGGAAGAACATCCTACAAGATACCTAAGCAGCACTCTCAAAACTTTCCTTGGTTATTACAAACCTAGGGTAATTGAAAGTATCACAGATAGTAGGTAATTCTGGAACCAATAAGAGACATTAATGGGGAAATGGCAATATCTGAACAAAGCATGGTTTGGTTATTAGTAATGTATCAATATTTATTTTTCCTAAATATACCATGTGTGTAAGATATTAACGTGGGAATACTGTGTACTATCTGGGCATCACTTCTGAAATTAAAATTTTTAAAAGATGAGTTCACTAGCATCTCAATGCCATTTCAGCTACCCATCATTTCTCAAACCTTTATGATAGATATGAGATGGGAGCTACATGGATAAAAATGAATAAGGCCTGGAGTCTGCATACTTAATACATGTGGATGGTGAAAAGTAGTTGCAGTTCATTTGAATGGTCCAAAGGTATCGCCATGAGAAGTCCTGCCCCAATAACAACTGGCTCTGACCAGGAATACAAGGCCACGGTCATCCATTTTCTTCAACCTTGTTCTTGACTCTCCCTGCCGCAATATTGTTTTGCTCCCCCAAATCAGACATGTTCAGCGGCATCGGAATCCCACCTCTTTCCTTCATATTCTGGAATTTTTAGCCTTTTTTTCTTTCACTTTTTTAACCACCGCCATACAGTCTTTTGTGCACCCTTGAAGGCCCAAAGTGAACATGTCCCTCCCAGCCTCGCCTCCCTGCGCTGATTTCCCTCCACCAAGGCGGTGGTGCTATTTATAGCGCATAGCTGGTCAGTATTAAGGGACTAGTGGGTAAATCCACCAAGTTAGAGAGCCAGGCCATGCTGTTTGTTATCACCAGACCCCCTAGCGTCATAGGAACAAGTGAGATTAGATTGGGTTGTGGAAACGCTTACTCAGTTGTACTTAATTGTCTTTTCATTTTACAGTCCAAAAAAGTGAAATTGAGTGTCTCCTAAGACTTTTTAACAGCTTGGTGAAAAGAAATGGCAAAAGACTTGATAAGAATGGGCTAGACCATAGTGCTTTTCGAGGGATCCTGCACAACGTATTTGGAATGACTGATGACATGCTCTTGGATAGAGGTAAGAACTTAAGACTGAAATGGGTTCGGGGGCGATTTGGCAAATTCCACGTGTGCGCGCATGCTCAGGTTTCATTACAGACTTAACTCTGAATGCCAAACTACCTCGTTCTCACTGCCATCGAGTGGATTCCGACTCCTGGCGACCAAGTCAGACAGAGCAGAACTGCCCCTGTGGGTTTCCCACAGAACCCTACGGAACAGAAAGTCTCTTCTTGCTCCAAATGCCAAACTTAGGAGAGTGTAGTTTGCGTAAGGCTGCCAATATAAAACAGGAGTGGGTTTGATTGTGAGGGTGGTTCTTAATATAAGCCCACTCAGAATTTGATATAGCATAGCTTTATGAAAGGACTTCAAAACATTCACGGAAAAATTCCATGATCTGGAAGCACCATTTTTCAAAAATTCTTTGAGGCCCCTTTGTACAACTTGAAAAAGATATCCAATAATTAGCGAAATAAGCTAGCAGTGTTTGTTTTTTTAAAGATAAACTCATAGCTCTCGATTAATTTTTGAATCCACCTGTCACTGACGTCAATTTTTAAATGACTTCATTATTAAGGTATACAGTGACTAACTTAATGTACATACCTGTGAGCCATGATCCCAAGGAAAATAACATCTCCATCACCCATGAAATAGTAAATATTTCAACTTAATATCTATGAGAAAATACATTCTAAGATTTGGTCATTTTTTAAAATGATTTTAATTTAGGTATCATGTGAATGGTGTAATTGTTGCTGCTCCTTTTAGAACATAGTTATCACATTGATTAGCTCCTCTGCTGGCTTTGCTTTCTTGGCTCACGGTAACTGACAGATTCCAACTGAAGCTCATTGTTCTGAATGGAGGAGAATGATACAAAAACACATTCCTGTCCATCGTTTTGGTTCTTTGAAGAAAGAGTGCCCAAGCCCTTCCCCTCTTCGTTTTGAGATACAAGTTGTTCTCTCCACACGATGTTGAATTCCAGAAATGATTCTGAATGACATGTCTACCGTTCTTTTTTGTTTCAGTGTTTTTTGTATTTGACAAAGATTGTGATAGCCGCATCAACGCGAATGAGTGGGTTAAAGGATTATCAGTGTTTCTTCGGGGGACTTTTGAAGAAAAGTTAAAGTGTAAGAACCCTGTGTGTGACCACTGGTTTGGGAATGATGCGTTGTCAATTTTGTATTAGTGAATGCTTAAAGATGAGCTATGAGAGCAATCACCTGTATAGGAACATCATCAAAATAGTTCATGATGGCCTAAAGTAGATGAGGTGGGTGGCCCAAAGAGTCCTCAGCCCCAGGCTTCCCAAGCATTTTCTCTACTGGTTTTGTAATGCCAGAACGCGTCTCACATGGGTCTCTGGTTTAGGCTCAGCCTCAGAGCAACATCCAGGTGTTAGGGGCTGTGCCAAATGGCAGGGGTTTCGGAGGCTCCTTCCAATGCTTCAGGAAATGGACCTTTCTACCCAATGAGGTTACAGGTTGAGCAATTATAGATATGTCATATAGGGGTCATTTCCTTGTCTTTCATCAAAGAAAATGTGAGGGATTGGCACAGAGGAGGTGAAATGCATATAACCATCAGGCATCAGTATTGGTTTTGATCAGCAGGAAGAAGGAAAGGGGATACAAAGGTTGAAGTACAATGGAATCCCAAAGATTATAAATGGAGCCTCCTATGGAAAGGGAAGGTTGGAAATTCAAAAGACAGAAATCTCCTCATTGAGTTTTCCCTGGGAATGGCTCAAGCCTCACCTCCCGGTGCCATCAGTGTGAAGTGCATTTTGTATTTTTTGTACTGCAAGTGTCAGGTTCTGGGAAGTGAATAGCAGTTTTCAAGGGAACAATTTGCCTTATTAAGATGTCAAATTGCTGAAGAAAGTTTAACAATTCTGTGTACGTATAAGGCAAATTTTAACTCACTTGAATTTGCATTTGGAACATTGACAATTAAGATCTCAGAATTAATGCACATGACAAAATAATAATAATTTATAAATTATCAAGGGTTTATAAGGGATGGGGAGTGAGGGGGGAAATGAGGAGCTGATATCAAGGACTCAAGTAGAAAGAAAATATTTTGAGAATGATGAGGGCAACAAATGTACAAATGTGCTTGACACGGAAGGATGTATGGATTGTGATAAAGAGTTGTACGAGCCCCCAATAAAATTATTTTAAATAGATAAATAAATAATGATAGCGAGATTTTCAAAATCAGTTTTGCTGACACGTGAATTTTTGTTTCCTTGTTTTGGCTTTTCTTTCCTTTGGTGGTAATTTTTTACGGAATAACATCTGTCATTTCCACTGAAGTGTGTGTGCTGCAGTGTTTGTATTTTTACAAATGTCTGAGAATTTAAAGCTAAGGTCCATGGATGTTAATCATTCTTTGTGGCAGTCCCAATACCTGATGAGAGTGACTGTGGTGATGAAGACACGTAGACTTGGTTTAATAGCAGTACGCGACCAAGAACACTTTTTCCTCTATTCCCATTCTGAACTTGTTTCATAACATTTAAAATATATTAAGGATATTTCTAGTGAGCTTGTGTTGCAAATTCCTATGTTCTAGATTGGAGAACGTCAGTGGACAGACACTCCTACCCTGTTTCCCCAAAAGTAAGACACCCCCTGAAAAGAAGACCTACTTACAGTTTTGCCTCTCGCTGAAATATAAGGCATCCCCCTGAAAATAAGACCTCCCCGAAAATAAGGCTCCCCGAAGCTCCCGTAACTCTGGACTGTAGTGGCGGGCGCCGCCACATAGCTCACCGTTGGCTGCAGCACAGCCAGAGCAGACAGGAAGTGCGAGGTCTCTTTTAATAAAACCAACAATAAATGTGTACCGTACTCTTCTTCAAGGAAAAATAAGACATCCCCTGAAAATAAGACCTAGAGCATCTTTGGGAGCAAAAATTAATATAAGACACTGTCTTATTTTCGGGGAAACAGGGTAACATGAGTTATATTCCTGGTCCTAGTGCCTTTGCCAAACCACTTAACTAGACTACAAACTCCATGAGAGCCCTTCACTGCCATCTGCCCAGGCCTGAGGGAGAACATTGGTTAGAGGAGTGTGTGCCCTGTGAAATGGAAGTCGCTTCCAGGGAGGAGTTATTTGAGAACTTTAGGTTAGACAGAGGAGCATCCTCTGGCGAGGATGGCGACTTCCTAAGTACACTGAGACCTCTGAGAGGCAGAACTCAAGTGCTGGTGCTTTTCCATTCTCTCAAGCGTTCTGCCTTTGCCAGGATGCAGTCTTGCCACTTTTCTATTGCTCGCTTTAGTAGAAATTATTTGAGGTCCCCCCATCCCGCCAACCACAGGTTTCCATCTTTCACAGGTTCTGGCTTTCAGAGGTTTTACTGTGTATTGAGAAATGTTCTTATCAGTGACATTACGGAAGGTACACTTTTTTGTACTCTTTGTCAAAAGAGAATCATAGTATCAATTGTGTGTATAGATACACATACAAGCACATACACATGCATACACACAACGCAGTGTATGATCAAAGTTGGGGTTTTTTTAAGTAGTTTTTTTTTAATTAAAAGATCATTTTATTGGGGACTCTTACAACTCTTGTCACAATCCACACATTGCTGCATTAGGTGCATTTGTATATATGTTGCCTTCATTCTTTTCTAGACATTTACTTTCTATTGAGCCCTTGGGATCAGCTTCTCTTCCCCCACCCTCATAACCCCTTGACAGACTGTACATTGTTATTATTTTCATATTCCACACCAACCGCTTTCTCCCTTCCCCCATGTTTTCTGTTGTTCTTCCCCCTGGAGAGGGGTGTATGATTATGTGTTCATCATTGCAATCGGTTCCCCCTTTCTCCCTTCCTCTCCCCCCTTCCCCCTACCCTTCTGGTATCACTATTCTCACCCCTGTTCCTGGATTCCGTGTATCGTGAGCCCCTATTTCTTTTCTATACCTGTGCACATGTTCCGATCTAGTCTGAAGTGAGAAGCAGCACTGAGGTCGTGATACTGGGGGGTGAGGAAGCCTCAAGGAACCAGAGGAATATAGTGTGTTTCATCAATGCTTTACTGCTCCCTGGTTAAATCATCCCTTCCCTGTGGGCCCTCTGTGGGGAGATTGTTCCACTGTCTACAGATGGGCTTTGGATCTCTGCTCCAACCTCCCTCGTTCTCAGCGATATGTTTTTGTTCGTTTGTTTGTTGTTGTCTGCTGATGCCTATGACCCAGTCCCTATGACTCCTCATGTGTAACTTCAAGCCTTTAAGACCCCAGACTCTATATCTTTAAACAGCCGGGCGCCACCTGCCTTCTTCACCACATTTTCTTATGCACCCATTTTGTCTTCAGCGATTGTGTCCAGAGGGTGAACATCTCAGACTGCCGATCTGTTAGAACAAAGTGTTCTTGTATTGAGGGAGGGTATGAGCAGAGGCCCGAAGTCCATCCCTTACCTTAGTACATTGCTGTATAAGTATATGTACATGGGCCAATACCTCTATTTGTGTGGATTAATGTATTTACATATGTACACACCTATGTTTATGCATCTGTCCATTGCTTTGCTCCCTTTGTCCTTCCTCTGTTTCCTTTTACCTTCCTCCTGCCCCACCGTCACTTTCCCCATATTTTTGCCGCTTGGTACTGTGTGATCAAAGTTTTAAAAAATACTGTCTCCTTTATGGTAAGTAGCTATATGGTATGTTAAATCCTCTATTTCAAAACCCAAATATTATAAGCTTTTATTTCTACACCACTGGGCTATTTCATCTTACAGAGATACAATAAAAGGTGCTTTACTATAAAATCATGCAATATATTAAGCCAATAATTTGATGCTAGGTGAGCTGTTTTTGTCTTTCATGATTTGTTGAAATAACGAAGACGATGAGGTTATTGTAACTGTTTATAATAAAGTCCTCAAGCTAGTCCTTATTCCTTGGCAAGTCTGTTTTCAAGTCTACTATGTGGACGGCGACGGCTCCATTTCTCGAGAGGGTGTGTTTGACATGTTGAAGAACAGTCTCCACCAACACTTCTCGGAAGGAGAGAGCGAAGAAGGGATAAAAGAGCTGGTGGAAATAACAATGAAGAAAATGGTAAGAAGGCAGCATCGTAGTGCACACCTCACACTATTCTTTATGGTAATTGCAGTCTGCACAAAGGCCAGGGTTTCATTGATTTTGTTCTCAGCTTTACCCAGTGCCCAGAACAGTGCCTGGCTCCTAGCAGGTCCTTAGTAAGTATTTACCAACTGCCTGGCTGATTGAATGGCTCACCACACAAAATGGGTGTTAACTTTAAAGTATTTTTCTCAGTAAAGCCTCGTCGTTTCGGGGACGTCGCTTCAATTCGCTCAAAGCCAGAGGCTAGCTAATCTGTCCGTGTGACTTCAAAACATTACTAAAATAAAATACCGAAAATCACTGATAAGATGCTTGTTAGATGCCAGCCCTTCTAAGAAGCTTTAGTGGAAGAACGCATTTTCTCATCAAAACAATCCTGTGAAGTGACAAATTATCCCCATTTGCAGATGAAGAAAACTAAAACACAGATAATGTATCTGAGCTCACACTAGGAAATGGGGTGCAGTGTTCATCTTAAAGAAAGTCTGTAGGCTCTCTTTATTATTAGTGTCGTTATTTCTCTCCTTTTTTGAATGACCGCCCTAAGTTGTATCCTTGTGAGTTGAGCACAACTCACCCAGCTCCCTCCTGGAGATCAGCAATGGGGCTGCTGCCTCTGAGCCCAGGGCTCCGCTTCCTTGTGCTCCTTCCACTGCCACGGACCACACATGCTGCTGCCAGGGCCCCCACTGCACCCATTCATCCCTCATTGCTTGAAAGGAAATATAGAATGAATCTTTTTCTGGAAATAATTCAAACTTTTCTTTATATCAGACTCTCAGCAATCCTGATGTGGTTATGCCCAGAAGTTACATAAGAACCCATAAAAATAAAGGCAGTACTCGTTTACCACCACCCCCTTGCATACACTATTTAATCTCGCATAGTCCTTATCATGAGTGTTCCACTCCAGCAGGCCCGTGTCCGTCCTTAAACTTGTACGTATTCTCAGAACAAGTTAGGCCACCCTTCTGCATCTCTCCACCTCGCCACCCAACCAACTTTAATGGCCAGCGGGGGTCTGCAAGGCTTTTCAAAACTACCCATCCCGAATGCTGATGGCTGGAACTGCATGGGCCTCCGAGCTGGCCCTTGCGGCCTATCCTTTTTACATGAACTCCGACAGGAGAGCTCGATGAACATGCTCCACTGCTGTCCTATTGTACTTACTATGTGCACAGAAGTGGGAAAGGAGTTTTCTAGAATCTGAATCCTTAGGGACAGGACTATACTTTTAGGGTAACCCTTGGTTTTTCTCCAGAAAAGTAAGTTGGTGACTTCCCAAAATAAAAAACCTTTTGATTTATGCAAACAATACCTCCAGAATTGGGATATTTTTTCTTGGCAAAATATTCTCATTTATGAAGCTACTTTCTGTGCAAAATTTTTAAAACATCATTTATTTAAAAAATACCCGCTTCCTCTAGGATTATGACAACGATGGCAAGATATCTTTCACAGACTTTGAAAGAGCAGTCAAAGGAGACCCGCTTTTGTTGGAAGTGTTTGGACCATGCTTACCAACTGCACAGGTACAGCTGTAAGTGCTAACTGCATGAGGCAGTTGAGGAAAAAAATATAAGCAATAAGAGTCAGGAAAATAATACTTACGGGACACTTATCCTGTAGGGTTTTTTTTATTATTTAAATCATTTTATTGGGGGCTCATACAACTCATCATAATGCATATATACATCCATTGCATCAAGCACATTTTATACATTTATTGCCCTCATCCTGACATGGTGATTCTTTTTTTTTTTAATTACTTTATTGAGGGCTCGTATATTTCTTATCACAGTCCACACATCCATTGAAGCAAGCACCTATGTACACCTATTGCCCTCATCAATCTCAAAACATTTGCTCTCTATTTTGGCCATCCTGTAGGGTTTTAACCCACTATCGCGACCCCTTTGGGAGTTGAACGACCCTTTCACAACGGTCGCCTGATTCATAATAGTAGCAATATTACAGTGATGAAGTAGCAATGAAAATAATTTTATGGTTGGGGGTTCACGAGGACCTGTATGACAGGGCCGCGGCATGAGGAAGGTTGAGAACCACTGCCCTACGGCATGGATGAAGTCCGGCCACCATGAAGGCTTAGAACTCAGCCTGCTATGTGCCCTAAGAAGACACAAGTGGGACCATCGTCTCTAGAACGAGTGTGTTGGATTGTGTATGAATTGTCCCACTGAAGTATCGAGACAAGCCATTGTGTTTTACACCTCCTCAGCTTAGATCTATACCCCTTTGAAAACAGAAAAACAAGGGCAGAGAGTTACCGTGAAGGGGCTCCGGCAGGTATCCACTGTGAGCTGCTGAGAAGCTATTACTATTGCTGTTGCGGGGGGGCGTTGAGCTGATGCCAGTGTGGAGGGGCCCGACGTATGATGGGACACGGTTGCACCCAGTGCCTCACGGTTCGTTTACCTGTTGCTGCCACTGTGGAACCCAGCTCGTCGAGTGTCTCCCGCTTTTTCACGGCCACTTTACCAAGAATACCCTTCTCCAGGGACTGTCTCTCTGTACATGTCCAAGGTACCTGAGACCTAGTCTCCCCATCCTGCCTCGAAGGAGGGTTCCGGTTTCACTTCCTCCAGGACAGACTTGTTTGTCCTGTGCGTCCATGGTAATTTCGTCTTTGCCAGCAGCAGCACCATTCAAATGCATTGAGTCTTCTTTGGCCTTCCTTATTCAAGAAAACACTTTAGCCCTAAGCCCAGATGCTGTGAATGAGACTATTGGAGATACACCTAGTTTATCTGCACTAGGAAGGTGTTTCATGTATGGCGCTGACATTTTCTGAGCTGGAAAGGCTGGCCTAATCATTGATTAGACTCATGAAATATCTCTATGTGCTCCTTTGACCAACTGTACTTTGCAGAGAGATCTGACGTCAGCAGGTATCTCAGCTCCCTCTTGTAGTACATCCCACTGTAGTTCATTCCCTAACTACATTTTCATCCTGTCTGGAAACTCGGTAGAAAGCATTGTGAGGAAGGCAGACTTCCGATTGAAGGTAAGGTCAGTAGAGAACTATGCACTGGATCCCAGCAACAACTTAGGACCGAACAACCATCTGCAGCTGCTCCCATGGGTCACCTGTAGCCAAGGACCCTTGCTCCTCAGTGTGTACTCAGAGCATCAGTGGCACCAGCATTGCCTGGGACCTTATGAAAAGTTAGAACCTCAGACCTCACTCAGGGGTTTTATCAAGAGTCTGCAGTGACTTGAGCATCTTAAAACCTTAGAAGTCTTGATCAAGACAGAAACTTGCTCCTTCCAATCCTGTGCTCTATAAATGCCAAACTCAATGCCATTGAGTCAACGCGGACTCAATGACTCCCTGTGGGTTTCTGAGACTGTAACCATTTATGGGAGGAGAAAGCCCAGACTTTCTCCCTTGGAACTGCTGGTGGTTTCCAACTACCAACCATGTGGATGGCAGCACAACGCATCACCATTATACCACTAGGGCTTGATTCTGTGCTCTAGACTCCACTATGTGAGGGTAAATGAAGAAGTATTACTACTGGACAGGGCAAGATATGACGAAATACCCATTTATAAACTATCAAGGGCTCATGCGGGAGGGGGAAGCGAGGAGGGAGGGGAAAAATGAGGACCTAATGTCGGGGGTTTAAATGGAGAGAAAATGTTTTGAGAAACGATGTACAAATGCGCTTTACACAATTGATATGTGTATGGATTGGGATAACAGTTGTATGAGCCCCTAATAAAATGTTAAAAAAAAAAAATCTTACACCAAGCCAAAAAAAAAAAAAAAAAAGTATTACTACAAAATCATAGCAATCTTTATTTAGTAATAATTACAAAAATATGAAGTCATTGTTTTTTGACCCATCCTCCATTTAGGTCTATACACTTCTGATGGCAATGTTTCCATCTTGAAGTCTTCCAGAGCCTTCAAATACTCAAGTGTTAAAACAGCGATGTTTGCACCCTGGAGGGCCTCCAGTCATGCTCTTGCTCAATGTTCTTTTGGAAACAAAGGCAGTCTGAAGGGGCAAGATGAGGGCAGCAGGCTGCACAGGGCAAGGGCTCCCCACGGTCCCCTTGCTTCCCTGGAATGAGCAGATGTGTCTATGAGGGGGTGAGGAGGGGGGACCTTGCCTTTCCTAACCAATGTACTTTTCCATCTTCTGAACACCTCTTCCTAATAAGCCATGATCGTGTTTTGTCCTTTGAAAAAATTGTGTCAAAATTAACCCTTTAGAATCAGTCTCCAAAATGAGTTGCCACAACCTCCTGAGCTGACCTTTCTGCCTTGGATTTAACTGGTCCAAAAACCCCTCAGAAGCCACTGTTTTGATTGGACCTTCTTTTTATCAGGCCCCCTAATGAAACTAAGACAAATGCACTGGTGAGAGAACTTGTTTGCAACCATCCATTGACTGCAGAGACGTGTTCCAACGTGCCTTGTTTCGAATAAGCCCATGCAGCTGTGAACTAAAACCTTACCAGCAGTACTTTTTGACTTGTCATTTTTCTTTTACCTGGAATTTCAAATACACACATTAAGCACACACGCAAGTAAGGCCAGTCTCCTTCCTGACACTTCTTTCAGTAGCATCCATCAGATGTCAGCAAGTGTACTTCAGCAGATCCTGAGAGCTGAGGCGGAACCTAAGTAACTGACACATTTAAATTCAACACATAGGCAATGGGCATATAAGGATAGGGAGAAAAGAAAAAACATACTTAGTATGGGCCTTTTAAAATTACTCTAGCAGGGAGGGGGCGGGAATTTAAAAAGAGCTGATCCCAAGGGCTCAATAGAAAGTAAATGTCTAGAAAAGGATGAGGGCAACATATGTACAAACATGCCTGATTTAATTGATGTATGGATTGTGATGAGTTGTACAAGCCCCCAATAAAATGATTTTAAAAATAAATAAAATAACTCTAAACAACCAAAAAATAGAAATATCCTGGAAACATTGAAGACTTCCAAATTCTGGTCTACTTCCTGACACAAAACAAAACATGGATGTATTCAAAGGAGCAGGGGGGAGTCTCGCCATTTACAAGTCCTAACTTTTCCCTCATAAACACCAAACCTCCGCCATGAGTTGGTTCCGATTCCTGGCGACTATGCACAGGGTTTCTGAGACTGAACATCTTTAGGGAAGGAGCAGCCTCCATCTGCCTCCCTGAGAGCAGATGGTGGGTTTGAACTGCTGACTGAGCTTAGGTCACCTCGCTCCCCGCACCACGAGCTGTTTACTATAGAGCAAGAGAATTCTTCTGTGACCCTAGAGCAGGCGTCCTCAAACTAAGGCCCGCGGGCCACATGCGGCCTGCCAAGGACATTTATCCGGCCTGCTGGGTATTTTTGCCCCATTTGTTTTTCACTTCAAAATAAGATATGTGCAGTATGCATAGGAATTTGTTCATAGTTTTTTTTTAAACTATAGTCTGGCCCTCCAACAGGTCTGAGGGACAGTGAGCTGGCGGCCGCCTGTTTAAAAAGTTTGAGGACCCCTGCCTTAGAGCATGGAAAATGCTATTTCAGCTTTGTTCTAATCGTTCATTATTAACTTTTTTACTTTACAGAAGTGTCTCGATTTTGAAGCCCGGACATTCAGAAGTATCATCACTTCTGATTTCTGAGTACGGATCACAGGCCTTCACTTCACTTGATGTTGAGGAACTTTCCACATCATTGAGAAAACCACAGAGATACCCTGGCTCCCTACTTTATTTATATTGCGAAGATCCTACATTGGATTCGCTTTGTTGACATGCAATTGTAATGTCAGAGGTAATGTTACATAACAATATTAAGATATTTAACACGAAAATAAGGAATGACGGGATATAATTTCAAAAGATGACAGTATGTATTAAATAAACAGCCTGAATGAAACTACAAAAAAGAGTGCATCAAACAACACCAGCAGTCAAACCTCTACGGGAATTAAAATGGGACATTAAAAATTGAAAAATAAATATTCCTTTTAGAAAACATTAATTTACTGTTGGTAGTCTATATTCTTCTTCTTTGTTTTAATGGACGACTTCTACTACGCACGTCTTCCAGTTTGTCCGCCAAAGGTGTGGGCACAGGTAGAATTACCTAGTTTGAAAGAAGGAAAACCCCCAACACTTAGTTGTTACGACATGAGAGTAATTAAGCTATTAGAAGTAGAACACCTCTCCGCTCGCTCAATCCCGGCCAGCATACTGAGAGAACGTGCCCAAGTTCAAGGTACAGCTTACACCACAGGGCCCCAAACTTAAAAATTGACCTACCTCCATTTTCTGGGGGGGGAAAAACTACAACTTTTGTACGATAGCCCCTAATACACAACAAAATGTAGACATCTGTGCCTGCAGTCCTCCTGGATTGTTTCAGCACCTCCCGAGGGTTGCTGTTGCCCACTGTGGGGATACAGCAAGCTTTTCTGTCCCGACATTGAGGGGAGAGAGAACAGGGAACATATTGTAGCTGGTTTTGTGGGTACAGGTCTCTATCCGGGCTCTGTAGAGCTTGAAACCCCGCTAATGTTTGGTATATTTGCAGACAAGGAGACGAGAGGGAGAAGTGGAAACTGAAGCACTGAATAGAAACCAAATTCTTCCTTTCCCGAGGGAAAAATCAAAGCCCGGACACATCAGAGAGGGAGTGGACCATTGATCAGAGCAGAGCACCGCAGTCTGTTTAAAGCAGGAAGTGACTAGAAACAAGGAAACCAAGTTTACTAATTCTCTTTTACTTGTTCTGCCATTTTTGTGTCTAGGGTTTTGACTTCCCACTTTTCCCTCGAAAATGCTGGCTGCAACAGCACACCGGCGCCTCACTTCAGCAGTGTCTGAAGACGGCTGTGGGTGCCAGCACAGACTAGGAGGCTTAAGCTTCGATAGGGTGTCCATGGATTTTTATGATTGTAAGGCAACCCTTCACTTTTAATGAATGTCAAGTAAAATATTTATGTAAAAGAATGAAGCAGTCTTCCCCGTTACTGTGAAACTGATTCTAACCCAGAGTGACCTATAGGACAGAGTCAAACTGCCCCATTGGTTTCCAAGGTTATCATCCTTATAGGAGCAGACTGTTACAGCTTCTTCTGTGGAGCGGCTGGTGGACTGAAGTTAGCAGCCAAGCACCTTAATCCCAGCACCACTAGGGCGCCTGTGAACTACTGTAGTTGCTCCCTCCTCCCATAAACGTGCCCTAAAATGTACATACAACTATGTGAAAAGCATTGCTAGATTAACCTTGGAGTTCACTTAGAAGACTCTAGTGCTTACGATTTCTAAAGGCCCACCTCACCAGCCCCACAACAGAACCCACGGCGTCAATTCTGACTCCCAGGGCCTAACAGGCTCTGAGACTGTGTGTCTTCACAGGAGCAGGAAGTCTCAACCTGCCTCGGGAGCAGCTGGCGGCTGCTGCCTAACCCAAGTGCTAGTCCGGCTCCTTCAAGAGCTAACTCAAATAGGCCCTTTCCTTCACAAGCGGTTATGTACATGATGTGACACAGAGTACTGTCTCTTAAGATTGGATTATTAAATACATAATCTATTAGATATTTGGTATAGGTACTTTCGGCTCAAACTAGAACCATCTGAGGTGCTTTACAGAAATAGGGCCTTAGGTTGAAATGGCTGCTTCAATATTTTCTACCTACGGTGACCAAAAATACATTGTGTTTATTGTTTAGAGTAAGGATTAATGGTGTCAACACTAATAGGTTGATTGGCCACATTCAGTTCATTTAACAGAGAACTTAGAAAAACACATAAACTAAAATGTGGGTGTGGGGGAAACAATAATACTGTAGCACCCTCAAGACAGTTTTTAAAACTGGCCTTACCTCTTTAAGTTTATTCCTAATTAAATTGGCCGTTGTATTCAGCGAGTCATCGTGCATATCAACTTTCGGAATGCCTGGTAACTGAGGTCCAATCATAACTTCATTGTGACTCCGGCTAGCATCAACACAAGTGCCAAGCCTACAGTCGTCTTCTCTTCTTCTTTTCCGCTCCTGCAGCTGTGTTGTCCTGGGCATGAACCTATCAATTGCCTCTGAAAGCGGGAGAGCCTTCTGTGCACCCAGGCAGGCTACCGGGGTCCTTAGCGTTTTCAGCTGTGTTTGCTGCAATGAGGTGCTGTGGTTACCACGTCCCACCGTTTCGCTGGGGCCTCTGCCATCCGGAGAGAAGTGGGATGCTCTGTCCCCGTGCCCCTGTGACGAGCACACACACTGACAGGTGAGATAACATGAAGGCAAGTCGCACGGATAAGGATTTGAGGTTCTGGTGGCAGAGTTCACCTCAGCCACCCCAAATCCAGGCGTCTCGGAGTGGAAGACCCGTCTGCCATCGGATGTGTCTCTCTGCTCAGTAGCCTGTTTCTTCTTCGTCCTGGAGTTGTCTTAAGGTTACAGTTTAAAAGGGAGGGAAAGGGAGGCAAGTGGCTCATTATTTTCATCAGTCAGTACTTTTAAACACATTTCTCATCTAAAGTTAACAACTATCATTAAAACAAACATTTCTCATCTAAAGTTAACGCATGCTTTACTATAAAAAGTACATTTCCTGAGCAAGCAATATATTCATTTGGTCTAAAAATGCAAAAGGATCGGAAAGCATAGAGTGCCAATTCACCCTCTCCTTGCTCCCCATCTGTCCAGGGTGTCTTACTGTCCCTCTTCCCTGACATCCCCTTTCTCTCCGCTCAAAAGGCAGCATGTGAGACCATTTCTCTGTACCTGGGCCTTTCTACTCATCTGAAGATCCTGGAGGGCCCTCACAGCATTAGCCAGAGTGCCTGGTTTTCTGTGCAGCCTGGTAACTGAGGTTCAATCACAACCTCCTTGTGACTCCTGCTCACTTCAAGAAAAGTTCCAAGTCTACAGTCGTCTTCTCTTCTTTTCCTGGATGGGTGTACTAGTTCTGTGGGTCAAGTGTTAGGCTACTAACCTCAAGGTCAGTGGTTCAAATCCCAGGAGAAAGATGAGGCTGTCTGCTCCCATTAAAATTTATAGTCTCAGGAACCCTATATAGGGTTGCTCTGAGATGGAACCAACTTGATGGCAGGGGGTTGGCTTGGTTTTTTTTTATTATGCAGCTCAATTTGTGTTAGTTTTTCAATATGCTGGGCCTACTTTCAGGGCCTGTACAGACATCTGCCCTGGCTTGTGCAGCCGGCAGCACCAGAGAGGCATGCTGGAAGTGCACTGAAGATAAAGGAAGGCTGCCTGTGCGTTGGTAACTGTTGATGTTACTAATGTAGGAGAGGTGTTTTTAAAATTTCCACAACAAAGTCTTCTAAAAAGTGGGGCCATTTATGCACATGCACTGTGTAAATTCTAGAATGCTGCAGGCAAGAGCTTATCTGAAGTGTCTCGGGCCAAGCAAACCACAGTTAGAACTGCAAGCACTCTAACATGCTGCCTCTCAAAGCTGGAGTGACACTGAGACCAGCACTGAGGTCATGAGGCGGATGGCGACTTCCCCCTCCCACACCGGGATGAAGGGAGTGCACGCGGCAGGGAAAGGCAAACACTCTCCGTAGTCCGCATCCACTCGGTTCTCTCTCGTGGCCCAGGCCAGCCACAGACCCTGAGCCTCAGCTTCCACATCGGAGAAAAGAAGGGATGGGTCAGATGATCTCAAAATTCTTTCTGTAGTCTAATATTTTAAATTCTCCTTTGCAACACAGTCAAGTTTTCTCTTGTATGGTTGTGATTTGAATGAAAGCTGAAAGAGCAAATTTTTTCTCCAGTCAACAATTCACATAGATTCTCCCTTGTGATAACAATCACACAGATTTTTTGAGAGTTGCTTAAACATCCCATAAATTTAAGGTTCAGTTATCTAACAATGACCAGGTACTTACTCTCTCCAGCTCTCTATCAGATTTCCAGGTAAGGTTTCTAAGTCTTTTTATAGTCTTCCTTTCTTTCTCTTTTCACTATTACCTGCATGCAGCCACAAACTCACCTTGTTGGATAGTGTACAGACACAGACATACTGTCTTTCAGTGGCAGTGTAGAATATGGGTATTTGAGCCTCTACTAATACTGAGATTTCAAACTACACACATTATTTTATTAATCCAATTCTGACTGCACCGATACTACAATCCATGTCCCAGATCCCATGACTCCCTTTGAGGCATCAGAAATTGAGCCGGGGGCATTTGGCGAGTTACTGGTCAAAAATGGAACTTGTCCATGATGATGAGCAGTGTTACTACTCTGCAAAACAGAATTGCTTCTCATTGCCTTCAGACCAGGCCAAAGCCCGAGAACAGACACAAAGCCCCTCACGGAGTCACTTCCCGTTCACATTTCTAGTCTCATGTTTCAATGTGGCCCTGGGGCTTTGGTTACCCTGGACTCCTGACCATTCCTCAAATGCAAGATGCCCTTTATTCCTCTGTGCCTTTAACCACGATGCTGGTTCACCTTCCCAGCTTGTCCTCTCTCCTTCCACTAACAGCTACTCATCATTCCAAACTCAGAGCCCTCTCGTATCCTGTTGGGAGTTTTCCATGAACCAAAAGCTCTCTTTCCAGCCCAGTTCACATGAAATGCTCCGTGGACCCTGTGACCTAACATCACAAATAACTGTGATCACTTACTGGCTCTCCCTCGCAGCAGCAGACAGGGAGCACACAGCAGCATACCGAGCTGCGTTCCTGACACACAGCAACAGACTTTCCTTACCTTTATTTGTAGTGGTTCGTGCTATATAAGCCCTTCTATCTCGTAACTTTTTTCTAGTTTCTTCAACGGTCTCAAATTCTGGAGCATAGCACACGTGAAGCAACCCACCAAAGAAACTCTGCTCATCCATCTTTTTCTTGGCTGTCCTAAACAAGACATGAGTGCATGGTTTAGTAATCAGGGTTTATTCAAGCTGAAAGCCTACCTGTAATATGAGGGTGATCTAAAGCACAAAGCTCACCTTTTGCCACGTGCACATGATTCCTCAGGCTTGGAAATGAAGCAGTGCTGCTGTGGGTGGTGCTAACCCTACTGACCTGGGATTGGGGTACATGCTCTTGGAGCCTGTTTGCCCTCTCTCAATAGTGTCACTAGATTAAGCAAACATATCCACCTACAAAACTCATTGCCATCACGTCAATGCTAATTCACAGCAACCCTATGGGGCAGGCTAGAACTGCCCCATGAGTTCCCGAGACTAACTGTTTACAGGAGCAGAAAGCCCTGTTTCTCACACAAGGAGCTGCTGGTGGTTTTGAACTACTGGCTCTGCAGATCAAGCCCAATGAGTAACCAATATGCCACCAAGGGGCTTCAAAAAGTTCATGGGAATAAACTTTTTGAAATAATGAAAAATGTCCATGAACTTTTGGAAGGCTTCTGCTATATCCAGCCCTGGTGGCATAATGGTTATACTTTGGGCTGCTAACTGCAAGGTTGCCAGTTCAAAACTACTAGTCACCCCAGAATAGAAAAATGGGGCTCTCGATTTCCATCAAAAGTTACAGTCTCGGGAATTCAGAGGGGGCGTTACATCCTGTCCTATGAGTTGGCATTAACAAAATGGCAATGAGTTTGGTTTGGGGTTTAATATATCCAGAATCCACAATCCCTTTAACCAGTTTAGGACTCAGCTGAATGGCCTGAGGCAACAGTGATGGCAGGAATAGGGGAAATGAGACCTGGCTTTACTTGTAAATTACCTTGCATTCTGTAGATTCAGAAACTTAATCAGATAAACTTCGGTGAAGTCTTCCGCTGGGTACTCATCTAGAGCATTATACTGTTCGATGGCACCATACAATGCGAATCGCTCAACTAATTCCTTCATGGCTCCCACGGCAGGAACTCCTTGTATTAATAAATATCGAGACTCCAAATTGATTGTATAGACCTAAAAGAAATAGATTCATTAAACACCGCTCACAAGTAAACCTCCCAATAACTACGTCCATGTTCCCCAGAGTCCGCAGAACACAGACAGAATCAAATTTTTTGTCAATCCTTCGTAGGCCTTCAACCTAAAGCACGCCTCAGGCCATCTTTAGACAAATTTTCCAGGCGTTAGAACGGTCGAAGTGGTTTCTGTTTCCGGGGAGATTCAACAATACCCAGTGCTTATCCGTGTTGTAAACACGATGAAACAAAGAATAAAACAAAGCAGCGTTCGCACGGAGCAGATCGTTTAGTAGATGACTAAAGCTGAGCTTCTCGGTTATTCTCAGCCAACTCCAATGACGGGCGGACCTGACAACAGCCTAGTCAAGCCTCCATTGACAGGAGCTGGGAAGGAGGAGCGCGCATACACACATAAAGCTACCAGTTGGCCAATGGAAACAAATCTACTTTACTTTGACCGCGCGAGGCCGTCGCCCATCCCGATACTTGGCTCGCGAGTCGCACACAGGTTTCTGGACATGGTGATCGAATAAGCTCCCAAGTTCCCCACCACTCGACGCCATGTTGCTTGCTGGGGTCCTAGCAGGGAGGACAACATCCGCTTTGCTAGGCTCTAGTTTATCCAATAAGAAAGCTGGATGAGTCGCGCGTGCCCGGATTGGTTGGAGAATCGACGGCGTCGGTCATCGTTTTCTGCGAGCGAGGATACAGTGGACGAAGTATCGCCCCCTTGTGGAGCGGCGGAGGTGAGCGACGATCTGCTATTTTCCCCCAGCGGGCACGCAGGAGGGGCGCCTCGGGAGGGAGGCGGGGCCGATCGATCCTCTCCGGGTCCGACGCCCTCGCCTGTCTCGGCTCAGGTCTGTCCGGGTTCTGGAGTGGGCGGCCCGGGAGCCGCGCTCTCCCGCCATGTGGGGCAGCGACCGCCTGGCGGGTGCTGGGGGAGGCGGCGTGGCTGTGACGGTGGTCTTCACCAATGCTCGCGACTGCTTCCTCCACCTGCCTCGGCGCCTCGTGGCTCAGCTGCACCTGCTGCAGGTAACGCTCCGGCTCTGGGACAGTCGCCCGAGGGCGGACGTGGCCGAGACCTTGAGGGGACACTGCGGCCGTTCAGGCCTCCCCATAGTGGGACACGGATTGCCTTCTTGGCGCCGTTGACCTGGGAAGAGGCCAGACTGAAGACAACCCGAGGGAAAGTCCGGTCTGAGCAGTCTGCAGACCCGGGCTTTAAAGGGTCTCATTCCAAATCTCATTCGGTGAGATTGGGCGTAAAAAAAAAAAATCCCAATAGTTTATCAGCAATCAGAAATACACCTCACTCTACGCTGGAAAGCTTTAGACAATCCGTTAAATTTTTTTGTTTTAAATATATATATTTTCCCTGGTAGAAACTTCCCGGAGCAAGCATTGCTGCTGTCTGGGACAGACTTCGCTGACTCCTGATCTTTTTTTTTTAAATCGAAAAAGTTGTTTTATTGTAGTTCAAATACATAAAACTGAACATTCAAACATCTTAAATATAAACTTTAGGAACAAAAGTTTAACATTTAAACAGGGAACCAGAAAGGTAATTTATTGTATGTCTACTCCAGAATATTCATAAAGATCACTTAATGGTAAATAAAATGTGTTTAACCAGCAGTCCTACTCTGGCCAACCTATTAATTAGCTGTGGTTCAATACCTGAGAAGAAATTACTAAACAATTCTTCTCTCTCTCTCTCTTTTTTTAATCGTTTTATTAGGGGCTCATACAACTCTTACCACAATCCATACTTAACATCAATTGTGTAAAGCACATTTGTACATTCATTGCCCTCATCATTCTCAAAACATTTTCTATCCACTTAAGCCCCCGGCATCAGGTCCTCATTTTCCCCCTCCCTCCCCGCTCCCCCCTCCCTCATGAGCCCTTGATAATTTATAAATTATTATTTTGTCATATCTTGCCCTGTCCGATGTCTCCCTTCACCCACTTTTCTGTTGTCCGTCCCCCAGGGAGGAGGTCACATACAGTTCCTTGTAATCGGTTCCCTCTTTCCTACCCACTCTCCCTCTACCCTCCCAGTATCGCCACTCACACCACTGGTCCTGCAGGGCTCATCCGCCCTGGATTCCCTGTGCTTCCAGTTCCTATCTGTACCAGTGTACATCCTCTGGTCTAGCCAGACTTGCAAGGTAGAATTCGGATCATGATAGTGGGAACGGGGAGGAAACATTTAGGAACCAGAGGAAAGTTGTATTTTTCATCGTCGCTACATCGCACCCTGACTGCAAGGGGATCTCCAGTGGCCTACTGTTCTTAAGCAGATCTCTGGCAGGAGTTCCTAAGACAAGGCCGCTTCCCTGTGCCGCCACACCGTGGGAACGGGTAGCCTGGCAGTATGCACATAGCAGGTAGCTAGGAGTTCGAATGGACTCGATGACAGTGAGTTTGAAGTGTGGTTGCTTGCTTGCTTTTGTTTTGTTTTGTTTTTGGAGGATTTACTTGGAGTCGGTAGTCTTTCTGAAGCCCAACCACAGGCAGAGATTTAAAAGTGGTATTTTCCTCATTAAAAAAAGAAAGGTACAAAGTCACACACCTTTGAGTGTGCTGACGGCGGCAAAAGGATAGGCTCCGACCCTCCACAGCCCTGCGCACTGCACGCTGGGTAATTCATGCAAGAACTGCTGTACAGGGTTGGCAGTGGTTCAAGTCTCCCACTTTTTCACTTGACTTCCCTCTAACTATTTTCCCAATCTTTTTCTAGTCTATACTGATAACAAATTCTTCCATTACTCCTTTATTTAACTACAAAGTGAACAATCCTTTTTGGTCCTGATGAACTTCTTTCAGAATTGTGAGAGCTCTGTTCAGTTTTGTTTGTTTGTTTTAGATTTTCAGCCTGCTTTCCGATCTCAGAGCCCTGGTGGCGTCATGGTTAGGCTCTGCTCTTATTTGCAGCTGATCTGGGTGTAGCAGCTCTGGCACCCATCGAGTGGAAAGTTTGCCCAACTTTTGCTTTTCAGTCAATATTGTGTAAACAGAACCAACTGAAGTATCTGGTATTGCCCATTGTTTCTGCTGGTAATCGTTGGTCATCTCCAGTGAGGGCACAGACAGACGAGAGTGATTCCTCACAAACTGATGGTGGGGTGAGGGGGTGCCGCTGAAGCCTTCATTTTCAGCATTGTCTCTGGGGCTCTGTCCCCAGGAAGTTTCCTTAAGGCATCATCGATTTCACTATTCATCCAGCTCAAACCAGAGCCTGTTTTGACATGTCACAACGAACTAATACAGGCTTACTTTAGTGCAAGCATATGTTGAAATCCCTGTGTAATTTTTCACAATATGCAATACCTCACAGTTTGTTGTTGTTGTTGTTGGGTGCCGCCAAGTCAGTTCTGTCTCATAGGGACCCTATGAAATATGGCCCAGTTCTGTGCCATCGTCACAATTGTTATGTTTGAGCCCATTGTTGCAACCATCTTGTCGAGGGCCTGCCTCTTTTTGGCTCCCCGTCAAGTTTACCAAGCATTATGTCCTTCTTCAGGGACTGGGCCAGAGTACACGAGACAAAATCATCCCCTGCTTTTCTGGATGCATTCTGGCTGTCCTCTTCCGAGAGATTAGTTTGTTCTTTGGGCAGTCCATGGTGCTGGCGCTATTCTTTGCAAGCCCCACCATTCAGATGCATCCATTCAGCGTTCAACTGAATGGAAATACCATGGCTTCCGTCAGGCACACCTTCTTCCTCAAAGTAAACCCTGTGCTTTTCAACACCTTAAGGAGATCTTGGGCAACAGGTTTACCCAATGGCAGTATATTTGATCTCCTGACTGCGGCTTCCATGAACATTGATTGTGGTTCCATGCAAGAAAAAATCCTTTTCACTTTTATACTCAGTTGTTGTGAATGGTTTTATTGTTTGCTTATGGGTTTGTGTAACAGTTTGCGCTGATCTGTGTATGTAAAAACTGCCTCCTGTTCTTCGTATTTATTCATATGCTTGAGATAGTACGTATTATATAAAGAGTATACATTTTCATAAGCCTTTATATGTGGAACTCTATTTAAACAGTGTTGGAATATGTGATGTATACCTGTTTCATTTATTTAATAAACTGGAGTGATAGTTTCCCCATTTTTTTAGAAAGTTGTCATTTTAGTGGTTAAGTAGTATTTGATCATAAGTTTACTATACTTTAATTGTTCATTGTTAATAAGGGTTTTCTGGCCTTAGGTCACGGGGAAAATAGGAGTCTTCCCCTCCCTACTCATAAAGATACACAGCCTCAGAAACCCGCAAGGGCTGTTCTGCAATGTATATAGGGTTGTTATGAATCAGAGTCAGCTCGATAGCTGTGAGTTTGGTTTTTCAGTTTGGCCTTGTGTCATACTGGGTCTGGAGCTTTAAAAGGACCGATGTTCAGGTCCTTTCTCAGACCCGTGGAATCAGGATCTCAGAGACCAGCCTTCAGGCATCTGTAGTTTAAAAAATACCATCAGCCCCACTTAAATTCACAAAAGAGCTGAAACACCAACCATTCGAGACTCATGGGATCATAAAATAGTAATGGTGATAAGGACCATAAGAAAACTGGCACTTCTAGTCCAGTGCCATTTTTATAGTTAATTGTCTGATCTCACTCTGCACCATCAGAATGACCCCACTATTTCTTCCATAACTTTTCTTGCATCCTATAAAGTATTTTTCTCCTTCCATACAAATTCCAAAGAGCTGACTAGAAATTTCCAAAGTCACGAGGACAGAGTCAAATATTATAGTGACGTGCACAAACACCTAGAATTAGAGAACCAAAGAGGAAGCCACACTTGGCATATCTTACATTGGAAACCTCAAGGGAAAATTCACTCAATGGGATGCATGAACTTGCAATCTTGAAAGAGTCTTTGGGCAAAATATTGAACGATGCAGGAAATATCAAAAGAAGGAAAGAATACACAGAGTCACTGCACCAGAAAGAACTAGTTGACATTCTCCCATTTCAGGTAGCATATGAGCAAGAACCAGTGGTGCACTAAGCATTAGCCAGAAGAAAGGTTCCAGGAATTGATGGAATGCCAACTGAAGTGTTTCAATAAGCTGATGAAGCGCTGGATTTGTCTATGCCAGTGAAGACAGCTACTTGGCCAACTGACTGGAAGAGATCCATATTTGTACCTGTTCCAAACAAGGGTGACCCAATTGAATGCTAAAATTATAGGACAGTATCCTTGATATCACATGCTGAAAATTTTGCTAAGATCATCCAACAAAGGTTGCAACCAAATATCAGCAGAGTGCTAGCTGCCAGAGGTTCAGGCCAGATTTGGGAGAGGACATGGAACAAGGGGTATCATTGCTAATGTCAGGTGGATCTTGTCTGAAAGCAGAGAATTCCAGAAAGATATTTGCCTGTGTCTTGTTGACCATGCCAAGGCATTCGACAGTCTGGGTCATAGCAAACTGGACGACCTTGAGAAGAATGGGAGCTCCACACGGATTCATTGTGCTCATGTGGAAGTTGTACGTGGATCAAGAGGCTTTGTGCAAATGGAATAAAGGAATGGATTACAACCAGGAAAGGTGTGCCTCAGGGTTGTATCCTCTCCTCACACTTACTCAATCTGTATGCTGAGCAAGTCTTCAGAAAAGGTGGACTGTATGAAGAAGATTGCAGTGTCAAGATGAACAACCTGAGCTAAGCAGATGACACAACCTTGCTTGCCGAAAGTGAGGAGGACTTGAAGCGCTGGCTGATAAAGATCAAGCATTGGATGACAACTCAAAGAAAACCAAAATCCTCATAACTGGACTAGTAGGTAACATGGACAAAAGGTTGAAGTTATCAAGGATTTTGTCTTGCTTGGATCCACAATCAGTGCTCCTGGAAGCAGCAGTCAAGAGATCAAAAGACCAGTTGCATTAGGTAAATCTGCTACATAAGATTTCTACAGTACTGAATAGCAAGGATGTTACTTTGAGGACTAAGGTGCCTAACCCACGCCATGGTATTTTCTGTTGTCTCATACATGTGTGAAGGTTGGACACCGAG